TTACCATCAATCCTTCGGAATTCTGCAAAATTCCATTTTAAACACAGATGAAGTTTCAAAAAGAGGAGTGCAATTAAGCATGTCTTTCGAAAAGTACCTCCTCTTTTCCTTCAACAAAGTTCTTTAAAATCAACCTAGCTGATGCTGCCGCTTTATTTTCGTCCTAAAGAATACCATAGAAAATTTAGTCTGCAAAATGAGTACTAACTTTCCGAAACAATAGTACTATTCTTCAAAGACTGAAAATCGATGAGGGCTTACAGTAATTTTCGTGTTTGGCCTCTGTAACGTTCTTTACAATGTTCAGCAACCTTTATTCTATTGTGACGTCATGGATAACTCACAGCGACCACAGACACAGAGCTTTCGTATAACAAATATATTTATTAACAAGGAAAACAAAACAGATATATACCACTTAATAATTCTACTTTAGGCACCTACTCTGATAGACCTACTATCCCCTGGATCGGCGGGAGCGATGCCAAAACCCGATTGAAGATTGTCTTTTGATTGTGGCATTCGCCACTCCTACTTTTTGAAACTCCGGGCCGGCCCACAAAGCGCTACTTCCGTGACGCGGATGTTCACGCTTGGACAACAAAGTCCGTTCTGGCGCACCAACGGCTGGTTTGCCTCGATCGCAGTGAGCGATCTTATCCGATGAGAATACGGCGTGAATCGTGGCACTCAACACTCCTTCAACCATCGACATCGCACACAGCACTGCTCCCCCGTGACTGCAGTCACCCAAGGACATAAGTCCGCAGGCTTCGTCAGTTCCTATGACTCCAGCCTCGCGAGCTGGGCTCGCATATGCACCGTCTTGGCGCCAAGTTTTGTGCACACGCACGAGGTTCTGCCACCGTCTGCCTCAGACTAATCCGCAACCAAGCGTCCCCAAATAGATGCCATGAGGCACGCTGGCTAATACGTTACACTATCCGCTGCTCACTAAATGTGTTATGTAATACATGAAGACATACCCATTTATTGTGCATTACAATGAGAAAAGTTCATCTAATGAAATATAGCAATTTCAATTTTGTCATAAGTGTAATTAATGCAGAAAACTATTAGTATGTAATCTAAGTATAATTTTTATCTCATAGATTTTATTGGATGGAATTAACATAATGTGTCCCACTTTTTTGAATCTAAGTAATCAACATTTTAGTTTTATTTTAATTTTCTCACGGCACACCTGTCGTTTTAAAGGCACGTCGATCCAAACCCAAAATTCTTAATCAAACAAGTCAATCCTAATTTGAAACACGTATCTCATGATTCCTGGTTCATTTTCGGGTCCAACGGACGTTCCGCAAGCAAGTCTTCACTGCTCGGCCAGATTCGCGGTGTGGAGCACTGCGCCTTATTCTGCGTGGGTGGCGCGGCCGAGGGGGGGGGTGAGAGGGGAGAGACGGCAGCGGACGGGCGAGAAGTCCTTCAGTGCTAATTACCTTCCGAAGGCGATGCCTTCCTAATGTGGGAGACCCGACAGCACGAAGCCAAACGGGTCTGCAAAAGGCTTTCCTATGGCTGAACAGTCCAATTCGAGCTTTGTGGGCGTCTTTCTTGAATCCAGATGATGAGGAATGGACCGTATGGAGATCTGCCCTTTACAGGCCTAGGTCAGGCAGGGATGGGAAAAGAAGAATCGCGTGCTGCTCGGGGCGCGTCAGACAGATGAGGTACAGTATATGGGTAAACACCTGCTGTGGAATACATGAATTGAATTAAGAAAAATCTTAAGGAGAAGTTCTCTTCGAAAGAAATGGCAATGTCACGTCCTCTTTTTGTTTCAGCTTGCAGTCCTCCTTACAACGATACAATAGTAGCTTCATTATGAAGTAAATTTCAAACTAAGTAAAATTTAAGTTAGAGGTGTCTGAAAAAAAAGTCTCTAAAGTTAAAATTCTGCAAAAATAGTAGGTGACGATACTTTTAAAATTTTAAGTTAAAAAATGGGAAAGGCGCAAGTGGCAAAGGCTTTTCTTTACAAAGGTGTTGTGTTTCTTGTGATAGATTTATAAAATAACACAATGATATTACAGATAACGTGAACACTACCACACAATAAACAAGTAAATTATTTTCTAATGATAAACTCTATCTGAAAACCAATGTAGTCTCCTATGTGAATGCTTGATTATTTTGTTTTCGGGTGTGGCTGCTGTGATATGCTACTTTTAGTTCCGTAAGTGTAGTGTACCATGTGTTATTTTCAAACCGGAACATGAGATGCCACGGCACCGGGCCAACCGGGAGAAGCTATGGACTCTAGACACAAGTGTGTTACACAATAGTGTAAGAGTGCATGTGTGCGAATAAGAGAGGATGGAGCAAGATTGAAGAAGGAAAAATCGCACGGTGTTCTTGGCTTGTTCAGATACTGCTCTCGTACTCACCGAGTAAGTGTTTCGGATAAACCACGGAGAACTACTTATCGGTACAGCCCGCTGCTACAATTCCCCTTCAACTATGTAGCAAGTGTCGAAACTTCGCCACGACCTCGCCAACTCTATTACCCCTCGATCAGAGACACTGCAATGATTGTTGTCCTGAGCTATCTCATTTTCTATAAAATCACCGTTAAACTATGTTTTAAACATCGATTGATTAAAGCCGATGTTTTTTAACGTCGATGTTTTGTGGTCATGTTTTTACGTTTTCGATGTTTAATTTGTGGATGGAAATTTTCCACAATCACAATTTTTTAAAATAAAATAATTTGTGAAATCACGTCCAATTCATATGCACGAACGAAGCGGTCGGAGAACTACTTCCTTCGCACAGCGGACTAGCTCTTCCCTGAGGGATGGCCCTGATAACCTAGTATTTAAAATAATACAATTTTCAACGCCATTTTTCGTATTTCACACGCGGAGAGGCGGTCAATGCACTAGGCATAGGGTCGCCCCCTTTTCCCCATATTCTTCTACGCTGAACTGAGGAACTCTTGACTCTACTGTGCGCTTAGGCTTTCGGACTGTTTTGTTAATTGTTCTAATTGATTTTTAAGTTCGCTTAATCAGTTAAATATTACTAATTATAAATTGATAAACTCGTCTCCTGTCAATTTAAATTCTCCCTCGCGCGAACGTAAACGTTAGAAGTTACTAAACCGCTTTTAAAAACATCGATAATTTTTGGATAACGTAATTAACATCGATGTTTTAATTTTGAACATACATGTTTTGTAATCAATGTCGCATCCCTATCAACACTGTCTGACATAACTGTCCCCCACTGACATAACTGACACCCTACTGTCTGTCATAACAACTAATCAATCTTTCGGCGCACCTAGCAATTACAAGTACAATTTCACATGGCGCTTCGATAGGGCGATGACATACGATCTGTAGAATCAAAATATACTAAAAAGTCAGTTTTGAAAAAAGTGACACTTCCACATTTTGTAAGATGAAATCTTTCATTTGCATTTTAATTTTTTTTCTGTGTCCATTTTACATTAATTGACCAGACTGTACAATTGAAGCCATTTAGAGTAATCTATGCCGAAAAACACTAATTTTTATTGGTTTGTTCGTAACCTTTTCAATGTAAACTTACATAACTATTATGCTCGTTTATTTGATTTACAGTTGAACTACTCTTTAAAAAGGGTTTGATATTGACAGAATGAATTGACAGAGAATCCGGGAAAGGTTATTCATTAGATCCAATCAAGTCCACAACAGTGTTTATTTTACCTGCCATTTGAAGTTAACGCGAGTCTTCAGATCACGAGGATACAAACAGCGTGTTTTAATTTCCTATCGCATCTTTAATTTAACAAATGAGATTAAATTGAACTGAATTACTAAGAAACTGAATTCACTTAAATAACCAAAGCCAATTATTATTTTTTTTTCTTTATGGACCACATAAAATGTATTGATCTCTGATTAAATTTCCAGGTTGACATTCTGTGCCTTAACAGAACCCACAGATCTATGGAATAAATTCCTTTCTCACTATTCACAAGAATAGGAGCTACAGAGTTTCTGGGAATAAATTATTTTTTCTCCTGTTTGTTATTTTTTTCTCGTTTCCCCTCGAAAAGGAAAGAACGCCCCGAGGCATTCCACAGAACTAGAACGAAGAGCGGGGCAGGGACGTCTTGTCACAGCCTGCGCGTGGGAGGTTTCCGTGGGAGCCTGCAATGAAGACGGGGGTTGGGGGGGGGGGGGCAGGAGGGCCCCCTGCGCTAATGATGCGCGCCCGGCTGGCCGGCCGCCGTCGAATGTTTTCTCGCGTCGGGAGGGGCTGCACGGTCATCAATCTTACGCAGTCCCACTGTTTGCATACGCGGCCGCGCCGAGGTCGCGTGTGTTGAAACAGCTGACGTCGTGACCAACAGGAAGCAATTTTCCGTTCGCACCTCCGTTCAGGAGGGTCCCGGAGGGGCAGGGGGTGTCTAGCGGCGCGCCGAGACTGTCCCGGTTGCCTTATTGCGACTCATTTGTAAAGGCTGACACTTTTATGGGCGCCCGTTTGTCTCCCTGGGAAGTCGCTCGCGGGCGGCGACGCTCAGCTGTCGCGCCTCTCATATCCGGGAAATGCTCCATACTCGCGCGCGTTCTAATTAGAGGAGAGGTCGTGTAGTCGCGAGAAACAAATCTCGCGCCGCGTCTCTCCCCGGGACAGCCTCCGATGCTCGTGGGAGAGGTGACGCATGGGCCTGTCGTCCCTTCTTCGCGGGAGAACGGCTTTGAGTAATATAAATGGCACCCAGAATGCGCTGATGTCGCTGTTGGCGAGAGGACAAATTACGCTGCAAGTGCCATCTATGTGCAAACTACAGAACGGAAATGTACTTTAACTTAACAATCAAGAAAATGCATTCTTGAATTTATTCGTTTTCCGTTATAATGTAAAATAAGAATGATAAAACGTGAAATTAAAATATTCTATTGACTCTATAATTATTTCCAGGGGTTTAAAGAATGGAAAAGAAAAGTCCTCTATTGACTCGGTTGACGAAACAGCACGAAACAGTTTCGGAAACAGCAAGTATGGCTGACAGCACTGTGTGTGACTGTTGTGGTTATTTTTCATAATTTTGTGTTAAATTCTATTTTGCATCATGCCACAAGAAGTGAGTAGTTCACCGAGGCCAGGGGAGAAGGCCCTAGCAGTGATGAAATTGGTTAATGAGGTTGGCATCTTCAAGAAACCTGCTCTTCCTGTCAAGAAAGCCAAACAGAAAGAAGAACGACCAAAAAACGTTTTGGACGAGGACAAATATTTAGAAGTAAGGCCAAATATCATTAATATGGTGTCTTCATGTAATGCCTTGATTGGTCCCTTTGTAATACTTTTAATCTTTTTAAGGAAATGGGGATGATTATTCAACGAGACTTCTTTCCGGATTTGGAAAAATTAAAGGCACAAAACGCATATTTAGAAGCTCTGGAAAAAAATGATATCCAAAAAATAAGAGAATTGTATGTGAAATACAGCTCTGGATGTCGACCGCCAACAGAAAGATGTAAGACTTAATTTGCCATTCGAAATTTTAGGTTATACAACTTAAATCTTGCAGGTGTTAGTCATAGGATTCCTAGTTAACAAAAACATCACTAATCTTGTTTTCTGATATCAGATGCTGCAAGTCCCGCAACCTTTGAAACTCCTATGGATGCAAGAAGAGAAGAAGATGAAAATAACCCTTCAGGAACTGAAACACCTGCTGTAGAAAACTCTACTGCCTCATTACAAAATCAAACAAATGGACCTGATAATAAGTCAGAAGAGGCATTAAATGTTGCTGAGGATGATGATGATAAAAGGCCTAGTCTTGATGAATATTTAGCAAGCTTCACTAGTGAAGATAACCAAAGCTTTCAGGAAATAATGAGAGAAGCTGACATTAAACACAGACAGAAGGTAAATAGTTTTCCTCTGTTTTATAATATCACAAGAAAACAAACCTACTTCAACTTCTTCCCATAAATGTAAGCTAGATTAACTTTTTAAGAAATGTCATCCCCAAATAGGAATTAAAATAGTTGTCAGAATCTTGCAACAACATTTGTGCAAAGTGCAAAAGATAAACTCATTTGGATTCAGTTTTGAGGGGAAAAAAGAAAAGAGTAAATTTTAGTAGAACCCCACTGTAGAGGATAGTGTCGTAGTTGTTTCTTTTCTTTATCAGTTTTATCAGCTGGAAAAATATTGTCATGAGTTATAAATTTTTTAAGAATTAGCGCAGCATTGAAAGCTTGAAGTGTGTGCGTCACTTGTTTAGCAACTATATTCTTACGCTTGTGTTAAGTAAAGTGTGGTTTGATTTCAACTTGTTCTAGTTAATGTTAGTTTGTTATACTCAAATATTACTCTGTTTTTGTCAAAGAAAGTTAAGAACTAGGAAAATTGAAGAGATTTCTGTATTTAAGATGTTAATGGCAGATTGTTAGGAGTTGTCATGCTTTCTTATACAAGGTTGCCCAAGGATGTCCAATACACAAATAATTAATTTTTTTAAAATATCAAGTAATGTATTTTAAATGAATTGGCAAATTTTTGCTTTGAAATTGCTTAGTTTAAGCAAACTATTAAAAATTAATGTGATTTTAATTATTCAACTTCAAAATTAATCTTACTGTAGTTGTAAAACACTCTCCCACATTCATCTGAGAAATCTTAGCCAAAGACTAAAGAGGAGAGTTGTGTGGAGTGTCCAAGATATTCTGTGTGTAATGACCTTGCATTTGGGGAAAATTGCTGTCAGTAAATTTTATCTTGCTTCAACAAAAACAACCAAAAAAGGCTTCCTCGAAAGGTATTCTGAGATGTAATTTACAAGCTACAGTTTTCCTACAAACCATTCACCCTACCCCCACACGATTCCTTTAGGGTTAAAATAAAATTAAAATTTCAAATATTTTCTTATATCTATATCAGTATTAAGAGCAGCTTTGATTTCCCTACAAAAGTTAGTTTCATCAATAAATTGTTTAACTCTCTGAAAGCAGTAAATATATTTTGAAGCCCAAGCTTTCAGAGACTAAAAGATACATATGAGTATTCATGATTTTTGGCCCCAAATAATTAATTTTTTTTATTTGATAAAAGCTGTTAACAATAAATGATTTGTCTACCAACACTTTTCTTCCTCCTTTTGTTCCATAAACAGTAACTGTATAGGGAACTGTGGAAGTAAAGCAATCATGTTAAAATAATTGAAGCTTGGCGCTGAATAATGGTCAACATTATGCTTTATAAATTTTACAGGCAAAAAGAAATCCTACATCTGATTTCCTCATGAGAATATCACTAGTAGACTAGTAACAAAAAGTGTTATTCCATTACTGTGCTTTGTTTGTTTTTCATTTACTGTTCATACATAAGCTACAGAAGACTAACAACATATACTATTATTCCAAGAAAAATGATTTGCACGTATTCTAACAGACCATTATTTGGCCCATTGATTAAATTGTTTCAATCAATGTAAATAGATCACTAAATAAGTAATATTTGTTTTCAGTTTTCTTGGTTATATGAAGCAGAGGAAAAGTCTGGAGGTAAACAGAAGGACATGCTGGCTTTACCTTCAATAGAGCAACAAGCCAAAGGAAAAGAAAGACCTTTTAACATTGATACATGGGGGTATCGAAATAAGAATTACATTATGTATGTACCAGATGGTAAGTTGGTTAATTTGTACTTTACTAAATGTATTGCTTTCTTGGCATAATTCCTCATTACAATTCATTATTTTATTTCAGTTTTTCTTCATTAAAACATTGGTTGTGAATTATGGCATGCTGTTGTTTGTTTTTGTTTTTATTGAATTTTTTTAAAGAGTAATTCTTTTATGTTAAAGTGATATTTAACAAAAATTATTTTTGATTGCCAGGAGTATCATTGACTCCAGAAGAGCAAGTTGAAATGGCAAAAAGGAAGCAGGAAATTGCACACTGCAATACGCGACTTGCATGCAACCCGTTCAATGAACAGCAAAACAAAGAGACCATTCACCAGCTAGCGAGCCAGCAGGCGCAGGCACTGGAGGGCAAAATTGGGGTTGATGGCAAGGAGCTCACCCTTTCAAACACACCAAAAGTTAATGGTTATGGTTTTGTGAAAACTCCCTCACCGGCACCAGGTAAGGGCTTCTTTAACTATCAAAAACTATCAGTCATAGATTTTAGTTCTTGTTGCTGGAATTAATATTCCTCTTCCTTTGGCCTGGATCTATGAATTTTGATGTAAGGAATTTCAATTTAATTGTACCTAGAAATTTGAAATGTTCAAATAATAGCAGATCAAATTTTGAGATTTAAGATTGACAGAATACTCGTGTCTGTACTAGATTCCAATAAAAATATGTCCAAACAAAAAATATGTACGTAATATGTATGTAAAATAATACTTCTCTTCAAAATTTCATTTCATTTTTTCAAGGTGTTGACTGATTAATTTCCAAACTGAGGAGTATTCCCATTTGAGGATTTTTGAGTTACGTTGTATTGTCATAGTCGTTATTTTCCCACAATAGACAAAGGTTGGGGTATAAGTCATTGCAACATTTTTTGTTAAATACCAGCATGGGTGGGTATTGTGAAATATACACATGAAAGGGCAGAGAATGAACTATTGTTTAGGCTATCTGGGACAAGTCGCATCTCTGTTGTGGTGGCTGACATTTTGACCAAGATGTTGGGGCCTCTCTCAGAGCGTACTGCAGCAGCAGTACTGTCTGAGGAAGGCCACAAAATGTAGGCCGAAACGTCAGCTACCATGACAGACATGGCTCATCCCAGATATCCTAGACAAAACACACTCCAGCCATGGATGCCTACACAATCCAAGAATGAACTAAGTGCATTGACTTTTAACAACACATCAAAATGATGATTTTCATATTTATTACAGTATTTGAAATGACAGTATTGATTTCATGTTCCAAAGCTTTACGTTCACACCATTCCAATAGCATTACATACCCACCCTTAAGGCCCAATTAGGCAAATGCTTGATTACTGCACATTCTACATCGGTCTGTACATTCACAGTTTGTTACTGATTATGAATGGTGTGGAAGGGTATTATTCCCAAGAGTTTTTACCTATTCTCTAAGACATTTTGAGGCATTTCTCCCATAGATAATGGGTTTAATGATGTAGAAGTGCTGCTTGAAATGGGTTACATCTCACACTGCAGCACTCAGAAAACTGATTTCACATTGTTCTCTGAGCTAAAAGAGACACACACACACTTAGAGCCAACTGTTGTTGTGAACACACTTTAGTACAGTGTTTCTTTCATGTGTGACTACTGAAAGTGTGCCATGACATCTGTCCCAACCCTTGTAATACAGTTAAATAATTAATAATGAAGACACATTTTAAGTATATATTAAAACTGATAGAAAAATATTCATAACTAAGCATCAATAGTATAGGATAAGCCACGTATCTATGAAAACCTTTTTGTAGGTGTTGCCGAGTCCCCTTTAATGACCTGGGGTGTCATTGAGGGAACACCCTTCAGACTCGATGGTGGAGACACTCCAATTCACACAACTCCAGGGCCTTCGTTTCGCATCCCGGAGCCTCCAAAAAGAGAGAAGCTGGCCCTTGCACTGGCTGAGAAGGCAGGTGAAAGGCACCGCGATCGGAAGAATAAAGCTATAGAAGCTGCCCGTCGCCAGCTCTCTTCGTAAGCATATCTTGTTTAATTTCAAGGCACAATTTCTGTAAATTGTTTTTTATAGCTAAATACTGTATTGATACTTTTCTTAAAAATATGCAAGTCACATTTTCCTTGGATATTATTTTATATTACATGATCAACTGAAAACATTTCAGGAATTTGAATTTAAAGATCTTTTAATTCTGCCAACAACAACCTGTGCACTTCTGCAAAATAATTAAGGAAACCCTGATGCATTATTTTTATTTAATAACTCATCCTACAATAATAAAATACTGTTTATATTATTATTATTATTATTATGATTATTATTAGTAATTAAAAATAGTGTTCCTGTTAATCTTAGCATGTCTACGTTGTAATGGACTATAATAGGATATCCTGTTATCCACCTTCACTTAGAAATGCATCACAAATAATTATGACTGACATTGTTTTCTAATTCTGTGTCTAAAGAAGCACATGATCCAGACAATTGCTGGACATGCTTACACTGCCTATTCTTTGCACTTAAAAATAGGCAATCTTTGAACTTAGAAAACACAATGTATTTATTCGTCAACTATCCCCCATGGTGCAAAGATCATGAAGATCATGTGTAACCTTTTTCTCTCCAAATAATGAATCCTTATTGATCACTTATTATTTTTGACTTTGCTTATCTGGTTATAATCATTGATAATACTTCACCTTTTTAACAATAAATTTTTCACGCATACACTAAAAAAACATCTTTTCAGGGATGATGTTTTCCCCTGTTTATAAGGTCATTTGTAAAGCATATATACACGAATATAGAGCATGTACATTCTTAGTTTAAACATATAAAATATCTTTTTTTAAACAGATTATTGGTCACGTGTAACACTTAATTGAAAAACTAAGTCTAGGTTTTGTGTATACAGAAAAATAATTTTCCTTTCATAACTTTCCTAACAATATGTAATATTAAAATTGAATTTTTTGAGTATAAAACCAGTTAATAAGACCATGTGGTAACACATCTGGTCTTGCTTCCTTTCATTTAAAAAATTCATGAAATTTAAAGGAGTTTAAGTGTCTACTTTTAGAAAGAAATTAGTGTTTTCTATATAGATTTCTTTCAAAAAGTCATACATACTGCTATTACTTGACCGAGAAATAGTTTACAAATTTATAATGGAATCATAATAAACAGTTGTTTTAAGTTTTTATGTAAATCTGTATTAAATGTGTGGCAGAAACTGTAAAAGGTTTGTTGCTTTTACATGCCAGAAATAGGCAAGAGATTTTTCTCTGAAAGCAAATTGCACACAATTCTGGAAAATGGTTTGTTTTCTATCTTTGCTGCTATTGAATTGCCAGTTGTTTTTTTATGTGAAAGCAGAACATTTTTGAGTGTTAGTCTGAAAGCGAATATATATTTCTTTTTTGTTTAGGCCATCTCCAAGACCTGGTTCTGGCCTGTCCCTAGATCGCCTTAGCACCATGTCTCCAGCTGCCCGTCAGCTTGCCTCATCCCAGTTACGGCGCTTGAGCAGTGACCGTGCATTGCAAGCTTCGTATAGTCCGCGAGCTGGAAGCACAACACCTCTGTGGGGATCGACAACTCCCAAGACACCTGGAGGAAGCACTACCCCTGGCTCAGTTCGAAGCAGAGCCGCCCTTGCCAAGGCAGTTCGGCGGAAAGGAGCAGCAACCCCCAACCCTAACATTACGGACAACCTGTTGAATCTACCCAAGAGACCTCGTGCTGCAGACTTCTTTGAACCTCTTAGTTAAAAACCAGTGATAGAGAATTTCATGATAATGTTGGGAACTGAAGAAGACTGAAATCGTCACAACCAGTGTTTGGTCTGTCTGAAAAATACTGTGTGGTGCTAATATTTCATACTTCCGTATTTATTCATTTTGTGAGGTTCTCTTTACATTAAATTAAGATACTCAGATTTGATGTGAGTAGCTGTCATCACTGTCAGTAGTCACTAAGAAGACTTCATATTCTTCGTTTCAACAATCCCAAGATGTGAGGGTCAGCAGGACTGTCGTGACATTCCTGGTTAATTTAATATGTACATATCAGTGTGTATTCTTGTATAAATTATATGTTTTGTATAAAATAATACAGTTAATCATTCTGGTTTATAGAAACTGTGATCATACCTAATTATGAAAATAAATACCTACAAAGAGCTGACAAGAAATTGCATAAATCTGGACAATTTGAAAAGACTGCATCACAACAAACTATCCTTTTCGAGAAAAATTTTTTAACCAAATTTCAATACCTGCCGGCCAAAAAAAAACATTGTAGCCCTCAAAATGCAAATTTTGGGACACGACATTTATGCAACTCGTGGTGAAATTAAAACAGAAGAAAAAAGATGTTCAATGTTCATGTTTGCAAACATAGTTTCCTACATGCATCACTCAGAGCAGATACAACCTTTATTCAAGGACCTTATCCATTAAAATATATTAATTCAAATTTAATCAAGATTATTTCCCAAAATTAATGGAATTTTTTTTTTTTGATTTGTTGAACTGTTATAAAAGCATCTGGCATTTATGATTAAAAAGGATCTGTATCTTTAACATTACTTTTTTGCTGAATGAAAAAAAAAAAAGCGAGTTCAGCAAAGTACAGGAGAACAGAGCCTTCGAAACCAACTAGCTTTGCAGATAACTAGCTCAGACAGTTTTCACATTTCAGCCAAAACTTAGTTATTATTAACAAATAGTGTGAAGTAGTATGGTAATTTTAACTACTGTTTTGTGGCTAAAAAAATCAACCAGATTTGAATGGAGCTATGGAGCCATCTACACCAAGATGTTTCAGTGATATACTAAAATGTATTATTTTTCTTTTCCTTAGTTGCTATAAACTGATGATATAAAAATAGTTTTGCAGCAGAAATTGTTTTTGTTTTTGAATAGTAACTAATGTATCTAATGGATGAAGGGATCATTTTACATTCAGTATTTTATTATTTAAGAAATTAATTATAAGAATAATTTTTAAATTTCAAAGAAAACTATTCCTAATGCTGTAGAACAGTCACAAGCAAATATTATCTTCATTGTTACAGTATATACTTTGTATTTGTTATTTTGTATTTTATGATGCTGCTCACCATAGCAATATAGAGAAAAACAAACAGTTTTTAAAATTGTAAATTCTGATGACATTCCAGATCAAATATTCGAAGAAGCTGGGCAAGCAATGCAGACTTTACTTGCAAAAGTAAAGACAGAGGGGAGAGTATTTCATTTATATATTTTGAAAAATGGAAAAGGAAGTTGCTTCAGATATAAATGAGGTTTTGGTTGCATACCGTTAGGAGTGGGTAAATATAATTGAGGCCTGTGTCACATGAGCTTTGTGTTGATGCGCGATAAGTAACAAGTAGATTAACACTATCTTGCATTACTTAACACACATCAACACAATGTGTATGTGCAGGGGCCCTATATTTATGTTCCTTCATGTTTGTAAAATGATTATACAAAATAGGTTTTAATGTTGAATACTTGGCATTTTAGAAACATTAGACATGAAAAGTTATGTTTCTGGCAACTAAAACTGATCACAAAAGGCATTTTTTATTGATTAGGAAAGACAAATATTTGTACATTTAAGTGAGTGACTACAAGCATATTATTTTATTAACTTATTTCTTTTCATTTTATTCATTCTTTCACACTTTTCATTGTCAATGGCACAGTTGAACCAGGAATGGTTGCAATTGCCTAAATGCTGATCGGAGATTAGCATAAAACATTCTCTTTGTATTGACTTGCAGAGCTCTTCGTGTTTGCCCTGCTGGATAAGAGATTTTGGTGTATATTTGATCAAGATTCACTTTTCCGGAAATTCAGGGAAGGATTTGTGTTTCGGTATAACAAATCATTATAGGCATTATCTGACCTTTTAGGACATTTTAGGCTATTAGAAGCTTTCAGTAGATCTATTTTTTTATGATTCATAGACATCTGCTTTTATTTTCCACAATCTCCTGAAGGAACTAAATAGGCAAGTGTCCTAAAATCCGAGGTCTAGTTATCATAGAGGAGCCTAAGAAATATTTGTGGTGAATTCTACTGAATTTAAGTTGGTTAATTTTGTCGATATGGAGGGTGTTTCGACTCTCCATTTTGGAATTTTGGACAAAACTACTGGTTCCTCGGTTTTGCATTATGTTCACCAAAATTGTGTCTGTGTTATGCGAGCATTGCGTTGACACGCGTCACCCAACAGTGATGAGGTCAGCAGCGTCGATGCGTGCGTGCATCAGGGTCACTTCACGCGCATCGTAGATTAACCTTGTATTTTACGCGAAATGACACACGAGCGCTCTTTGCTACGTGCGTTGAGCGCACAGCTGAAGCTACAACTTAAATCAAGATAGCGCGACACCTGCTATGCGACGGGAGATGGAAGGGCAGAGCAACATCAGCGGGTTCCGCTAGTAGCAAATATTTAAAGGTGCGCAGCCTCACCCATGGAGCCTTGCTATTGCGTGATGTCAGTCTTAGCGGTGATGCACTCTATGGGAATTCAGATGGTATTTCACAGATCTCACATATTTGATTTATCAGTCAAATACCAAACTTAGATTATTAAGGATTTTCCCATGGTCCTAGATATCCAGCCATAATCACCTCTGTCCAAAGGCTGCTTAATTCTATTTCAATTTCTGCGCGCATTGGAAATTAGTAATACCGATATCTTGTGGGCTGATAAGATACACTTCCTGCTTCTGTAAGGAATGCATTCGGAAAGATCTTGTTTTTGCAAACCACTGCACGTAATGCTCTGTGGATCATCGAAGTGGCGACAAGTGGTCTCGGGAAGATCCCCCTTTCACCAACTTCAATGGGCATTTTGTCCTTCGCTTCCCGGTTCCGTAGGGGAGATGACAGCAAGCCAATCTCCCAAAGACTTGGGTAGATTCGTGAAAACATTTTATGAAAAAATAGGCGGCGTTCGAGGAAGTGTTGTTTGTCTGGCTCTCTAGCGATGCAGTTAGCACATAGTACCATCGTACGTACATTTAATGCTTGTCGGCCGTCTCTTCAGTTGAATTTCAGTGCCATTCTTTCTGCTACATGTTCGCCATGATCATTAAATGACTGTCCTGTTGCAAGGAAATGGCTTACGTGTTGACTTAGTATATTGTGAAATACGTTCTTTCATTTTCCCAACTGAAAGGAGAGATTTGATGTCTCAATCATTTTACATTATACGTAGGCGCAGACTATTAAGCCCAGGTCCCTTCACCCTCTCTCGGAATAAAAGTTTCCCCTTCACTCCCCCTTAAAAGTGGTCAATATTAATTAAATCATAAGATTGTAAATGAAACATTTGGAAACCAGTGATGAGCATTTGATTAAAAGAATGTCTAAAACCTATCGTCATAAAAATATCTCAGATTCTGCGTAAAATTTCATGACCAGAGTTTCCGAACAAAAACTGTCTCAGAGAAAATTGGTTTTCAAATTTCACTTCCAGTCGCGCTATTCAAACCGACTGCGGTATCTACCATGGCCTGCGTTTCTTCTGGCGCGTATTATCGGTGAGACTGTCGATTATTATTGTCTGTTAGGAAAACCTGTCGCACCATCTGTGAGGCATCCGTTCATTTATAGATGCAGCGACAACCAAGCAAAATAATAAAATCGTCGCGTTTTAAATATTTTAGGCGAGAATTGGATAATTAATCAATAGATAATCATGTAAACAATATTCATTATGAAATAGGCGAGTCATAAAACCACTTAATCTCCAAGAAATAGCATATTTAATTAAGCGGAAAGAATTGAGAGCTCGCTGCCCGCTCTCGGTGACTCAACTGGCCTTAGAGGTTCGTAACCATTTGCACGGCGATAATAGCCACTAGGAGCGCAATGTTACACAATGCTAAGTTCGGACACTGCTGAAGGAACAGATCTGCCATTCTTCATGACATTCAATACAGAATCTAAGCTTTTTTTGTCGCGGAAGCTTTCGGATATACTATAGTACTGCTGACAAAATAACAACCTCCCCCGGTCCTAAAATTCATGTATCATGCATAGAGAGCTCTATAAAATGTCCCCATTTAAATCCGCGAGTTAAAAAATATTGGGACCCGAATCTAGACAGGGTCCTAAGAACGTTCTCAGCTTGAGGTCTCAATTACTGACTATTCCACTCGTGAGTTATTAATTTCAGCCCGGCCGCTATTTTTAATTTATAATAGAAGGTTATAAACGAAACACGGGCGCCTAACATGGAAAAGTTCACAAGGGTCCTTTTGGCTAACGTCATACCGCAGATGACATTTAACTGTTTTTGAAAATAAATAAATATTTATTCTACGACGGAAACTGCAGTATTCAATATAGCCTCTGAAACAACCCACAGAGAAATATTTTTCGCATCTTTTACCATTATGTTTGTAATCTTTTAATCGGTTTATAACTTATTCGTGAGATAGTCAAACAGAATTCCACTCCTGGTTTGAACTTCTCAGATAAGTCTTCTCATCGCTACGAAACTAGCGACCACTAAGTTTCACTAGTTTATCGATAAATTCGAACATTTACTGAAATTACTTATGAAAAGACCCAAGTCACAATCATTGGCCCAAGTTCCAAAATAACCTTATATTGCCGCGGTCCCTACTGTGTTGCAATCAGACCGAATTTTAGAAATTAGGTCCCATCTTTAAATTGAAACTTTTAGTCTTGCGATCAATTTATTTTGTAACAAGTTTATTAGCAAAATACCACATTTTGAACGATTAAATATGAAACACCATTTTCTCGCCAATGAATTTGATACGGTGTCAGAAATAATATGAAACTTACAAGTATTATTTTTATAAAATATGTTATTAATATGTTAAGATTATTAATATACAGGTATTCTTGTGTTCATAAAAGCTCTTAGAATGTGAAAGAACACCCAAATAAAGACGAACTTGTAAGTAGCATTAAGTGTACCTCCCAGAAAGTTTCACTAAATCGCGTCTTATAAAAAGCGCAAAACTTTCATCCATCGCACTGGAATGAATTTCCATTACAATTTATTTCAACTTACCACAGCACTTCGCAGCCGAATGGGGAGTTGAATGGGAAACCTTTGCAAAGGTGAATTTTTCAGAGTGTTGCTTAAAAATATTTTTAAAGTGTGCGGGATAAATTGCAGTGTTGCCGCTCGGTTTGGCCATAAATGAATATTGTGATACGTATCTTATTTTCGACGAAGGTCACTGTAACGCTTTAGTTGCGACTCAAGAATATGCCCTGCGCTGCATCAGACTT